ATAGCCTGGATGGGACTCAACCCAACGCTAGTCCATGCTCGTATCTACTATTATATTCTGCGCTTGTGTGCATGTGTGAGCACACGTGTGTACACATACCTGTAGAGCTACAGAGCAGCTGGACCACAGGCTGTGACTCCACTGTGAGGAGCCCAGCCACCTCTCCCAGTCCAAGGGACGGTGGTTACCTGAAAAATGGGGAGGCATCCTCTCTATGAGCCAGCAGACCACAGCAAACAGAAGGTGAGGTAGGCAGGTGAGAAAGACACCAATGGTCCCTTTATAGTTCTAAAAGCCAGAGGTCCCAATGAGGCTATGCTGCAACACCGTCCCTTTGACATCCCTCTAAAATCATCATTCCACTTGACCCGTAGACAGGTGGCACATCCCCTGATGCCTTCATCTGCACCCTCCATAATTCCCCGCATAGCACGTTTTCTCTGCTGATTCTTGTTTCTTCCCACCTTCTAGAAAGGCACATGCCAGTAATTGTGGGTTGTTTTTTGTTTTGTTTTGTTTTTGAGACGGAGTCTTGCTCTGTCGCCAGGCTGGAGTGCAGTGGTGCAGTCTCGGCTCACTGCAACCTCCGCCTCCTGGGTTCAAGCGATTCTTCCACCTCAGCTTCCTGAGTAGCTGGGACCACAGGTGCATGCCACCACACCCAGCTAATTTTTGTATTTTTAGTAGAAATGGGGCTTCACCATGTTGGCCAGGATGGTCTCGATCTCTTGACCTTGTGATCCACCCGCCTTGGCCTCCCAAAATGCTGGGATTACAGGCATGAGCCACCGCGCCTGGCCTGGTTTCCTTTTTACACTGGCTCCCAAGAAGCTCTGACCCTGTCTCCATGTAACATTGCTAAGTTAAGATTCACAAAGGGAGGTTGCTTCCCAGCTCCTTTCTCAACAACACTGTGTGCCGCTTTTGAGTCCATGAATTAATCTAACCCACTTTTGCAGGGTGCTGCAATAAATAGAAGATTCTGCTACCAGGAAAACAACATCACAGGAAAATAGCCACAGGTTCAATGCACCACATACACAGAAAAGGTTCCTTCCTCACTGTGTCTTAAATGCCCAGGTGGCCACAAAGTCACCCTATGCCTGCAGACAAAGGACCCTCAACACAGTGTAATGTCATTAAGGTGACAGACACTCTTACAGTTATGTCATGGGATGTCAGCAAGTACAGCTGGCAAGGCTCATCACCACCTTCTTCCTGCCCCACGAGGGAATGAGGCCCAAGGGTTTCAAAACAATCACACCTCAGCCAGCGCAACTCCAGGAATTTTGAAAGACCCGGCAGCTCACCTCAATATAAAACATGCTGGGGTGAAGCTATTCTAGAACCTCTCCAAAGGGGTCATGGCCCTCAGGTTAGCTGCAGAGCAAAGGCAGGGGTTGAGGGTGGGTACAGATGCCAGGTGAACTCCAGGTATGGGAGGGGCCTCCAGCACAGGACGGAGCAGAGGGCAGTCAGGTCTGAGGGCAGGTCACAGAGGTGCGTGCAGGGGTACTGACACCCCAGAGCACAGAAGCCTATTAGTGTCTGGGTGACATGGGATTTTCTTGAGTTTTCTGAGCTCCAGCAGGTGAGGGAGGGCAGAGCATCTGAGACAGAATAGGTACTCAATGAATGATAACAAAGAGAAAACCAGAAATAGGCCAGGTTGCATCCAGGTGATGTCGGGGATGTCAGTATTTTCTGAAAGCAGTTCCATGCCCATCCAAAATGCCAAGGATCCCAGTGCCAGAAGGCTCTCAGCCCAGACAGGGTCAGGAAAGAAAATCAGTGCTCTGTGCTTTCTGCCCTGAGAAGCCGCACTGTGCAGGTGGAAACCCTCCCACCCAAGCTCCGCTAAACAGGAGGGTTGGCTTCTACCAGGCCACCCAGCAGGGAGACAGAAGGGTGCTCAGGCCGGGCTGGGCTGCACATCCATCCTTCCATTTACTCCTCCATGCCAGGAGGAAGACAGCATGTTTAAGCTCCATGCAAAACAAAGATGTGAGGAAGCTGGGTGTCTTGGCATCAAAGGCCCTCTCATGACCCCACGCCACCACACAGGGAGAGCAACCAGAACGGCAGGCATCGCCAAGGCCACCCCCGACTGCACGCCCACAGGCTGATTCCTGCCCCAGCTCCAGCTCACAGCCAGGATTCCCACACTTCAGCTTATCGGCCTTGCCGGAGGCTTTGTTAAAGCACCAGTCCCTGTAGGTCTGGGCTGGGGCCTAAGAATGTGCATTTCTAATAGGTCCCCAGCCAACGTTGAGGCTTCTGGTCCAGGAACCACACCTGGAGGCCAACTGGTTAAGGAAATTTGAGAAGACCACAAAGAGCTTAGTACAGAGCGGACTCATCCATGTTGATCTCAGGGAAATATACACACATATATTCACAGACATATAAACTCACATACATAACAGACTCACATCCATACATTCACACACAGGTAACAATTTACATTATCCACATGTATATACACTGAGATATAACAATTACATTCAAAACCAACACACAGACATTCATATACATATAACAATTACATACAAGATACATGTATTCACAGTATAACATTGATTTCATAATATACACATACAAACATTCATATAAACAATTACATGACATATATATACTCACATGTAAAGACTACACACCTAATATACATATACACTCACATATTCAACACATGCATAGCACCTGTATGTGTTCATGTGTTGACATGTGTGTGACGTGTACATATTCATTTGCGTATATATAATAATTACATGTATATTGTGCATGTATGAGTTCTTATACCTACGACAATTACATGCATAACATGCATGTGTCTTCATATATATAACTACACACAAAGCATGCATGTATGTATTTGTATACATATAATAATTACATACATAATATATACACACACATAGAGCGGCAGGGGGAGGGGGCAGGAGCCAGGCTGGGGTAGATGCGTAGGCTCTCTTAGCGACCACACCTGTGAAGAGGTAACAGGGAGGCATGTCCTGATGCAGGTGGGGTGCTGTGCTCCAGGAGACTGAAGACTCCTCTCTGGGACCCTTGGGCTCCAGCAGGCACAGTGACAACATCTAAACAGCCAGCATGGGCCCCTGCGGTTCCGGCCTGAACAGGCTGTTGACAGCCCTGCAACCTACGTCTTTAGACACAGCACACGGCTTTAGCCCTCTGGTGGCACTGATGTCCAGGGCTCACCAAAAAATCTGATGGTCAGGGACTGCCTGCGAGGTGGGAGAGTCTCAGCTGCCCCTGTGAAAACAGACTTCAGCCAGGGCCTCAGGACAGGCACACAGCTCCGGGGCCACTTGGGCCTCGTCCCGTGGCTCCCTGGGGCCTGTGACAAGCCTGAGGAAATCAGTCACAAACCGCAGCCTGTCAAAACCGAGCAAGTACAAGGCACACCCCACCACCTCGTCCCCCAGCAGTGAGTGCCGCAGAAGAAAAGGGTGAGCGTGGACGTCAGGACTGGGGACACAGCTGAGGCCAGCAAGGATGGATGGCCTCAGCTCTTGATGCTGCAACATGTTTTTCATAGTTTGTGAATATTTTAGGTTTCTGAGTGAGATTTTTTTAACCTTCCTATGATCTCAAATGCATACTTTGCTATTCCAGAAGCAAAGAGACACACCGTGTGACAGCATTAAAAGGAGCATAATAAGGGCACCCTGCCTGTGGCAAGCCTTCTGTGACAGGCCTGATCCCATAGTCCCTCTTCTCTCATTTCATCTGCAGTCAGGTTAGAGAGCACGCCTATGGCCACAGCGTAAAGGAGAAAACCAAGGCTCCGGTAGGCAGGGGGCGAGGGCAGGGCCCAATCACTTAAGTGATGAGGTTAGAGAGTCACCCTCATGCCCAATGGGTAAAAGAGGAAACCCGAGACTAAGGTGGGTAGGGGGCAAGAGCAGGGCCCAGCCACCGGAGCCAGGATCGGAACTTGACTTCATCAGAGCAGGGATGCTGCCACATGGGTGCCGCTGGCCGAGCCTGGGGGAAGATGTTCTACTGCACCCCAAGACAGAGCAAGTTCCATGTCTGGAGGCCACCAGATCACGGCCCAGAAAGACTGCCTAATCCCCGGCAGAACACCCAGATTCTGTGTACGGCGAAGCTGTGGGGAGCCAAGGGCAGGAAGCCCCATCCTATTTGAGAAGTCTGGAGAACACCCCTGATGGATGCCCAGGAAGAACCACAGGGAGCACCCGTTTCCCTCCCCTACCGGGGAGGCCGGGACCTGCACACACTTCCCCAGCAGCAAGAGGCAGCTTCCAGTTTGCCTCCCAGGGAGTTGCTTCTGATTTGCAGGGAGAGAAGAGGGTGCCATGTCCTACTGTCTAGGCACAGTGAACCCTTCAGGTACCTTAAAAGCTGCTAATAAGAAACAAGGCTTCACCCCCTCAGCTCCAAAGGGTGGAGGCAACGAAAACACCAAGAGCTACCACGACCTTCCAAGGAGCTGCATTTGAAAAGCAGACAGCAATTTAAATTTGCCTAATAACAAGCCAAAGGGAAAGTGCTATTATGTTTACCTTCAATCTGATTTGAACACACACACCCAGTATTTGTCGGAGCTGGATGTCAGTCAATAAACCACTGCACCACACTGTCCACAGCCACCCAGCGACCCAGACACCCTCACTGTCCAGGTTTTTATCCCTAAGACAACAGACTTGTGCTGTCTTCACCTGAAAGCCAAGGAAACTCAGGCCGGGGAGATTTGCCCCGAAGGTAACTATTATCGATAGAATGGCAGATCCCACAAAGGCCAGGGGATCCTCTTCTCTAAAAAGCCACGCAAATGGCCAGTGCAGCAACGTCGAAGGTCCTCAGAGAGAGCCTTGTGAATGAAAGCTACAGGTCAAAGGGAGGGCATGGATCCTACAGGAAGTCAAAAAATCTCCAAAGAGGGCACAGCTTCAAGAAAGAGACTTAGTCCCACAGGATGGAACAAGGGAGCCAAAGAAATGCAAAGGGCTTACCTGTTCCAGACGGACTTGTACACAGCAGGGAATCACCACCTTTCAAAGAGAGAAGAAACAGATAAGCAAACGGATTCTCCAGAAAATGTTAGCATAATAATCAAGCCTGGATCCCACAGGCTGAATGAAACAGTCTCTAACCTCACTCCTGACCACAAAGCTATAGCAGTTCACGACCGAGGAGACCTGGAGTTAAGAGAGTCCCGGGTTTTGTTTACTTTTGGAAAGTCCCTGTCCTTTTTGCTAATGTCATGGAAACCATGGGGCCTCCCCCTCAAGAAAAATGCAAATCACTCATAGATACGAAATGTAGCCTCTACTTTGACAAAGAGCTGGTAGACCTCAAGGATGGAAACTTCTCAATCGGTCCGTGCTTGGGGAGCTTGGGAGCGCGGCCCAGAGAAGGAGGCAGAAGGCTCTGTCGAGTGGTCTCCAAGCCCCCACTCCTCCCATCCTCACCTGGGGCGTGTATTCTCTTCCACAAGGGGCCACTTTTCTTTCTTTTTTTTTTTTTAGATGGAGTTTCGCTCTTGTTGCCCAGGCTGGAGTGCAACAGTGCAATCTTGGCTCACTGCAACCTCTGCCTCCCAGGTTCAAGCGACTCTCCTGCCTCAGCCTCCCGAGTAGCTGGGACTACAGGCATGTAGCACCACACCCGGCTAATTTTTGTATTTCTAGTAGAGACGGGGTTTCCTCAAGTTGGTCAGGCTGGTCTCGAACTTCTGACCTCAGGTGATCTGCCCACCTCGGCCTTATTACAGGAATGAGCTACCACGCCCGGCCAGGGACCACATTTTCTTGTACTATTTCTACAAGTAGAACTAAAAACAGTCTGAGTATGGCAATGTTGACATGGTTATTCCATTCAGCACAGGAGACGGGAGAGGAGGCTTTGACTCTACCACAGTCTCTGAAGACCGAGAGCTCCCTGGGAAAGACAGAGAAGGCAAGGGAGGCAAGGCGGCTCAAACACAGTCTGGAGAGCAGTTAGTTACACGCATAGGGAGCCACCGGCCCCACAGCGCAAAGACCCCACCTTGGGCAGGATCTCCACCACTTACTAGCCTCAGGACCTTGGCCTTTGATCTCTCTGGACCTCGGTTTCCACATCTGAAAACTGCAGGTAACAACAGTGCCTCCCAAGCAGGGTCACTGTGAGGAACAGGAGATGGTGCATGAGGAGCTCAGAAGAGTGGCCGGTCCAGGGCAGGGGCCCCACTCACAGGCACAGAGCTCTACCTAAGGAGAGGGGCTAAGGGGACTCTGGGGGCCGCTCAGGAGCCAGGCGCCAGCAAACAGGATTCAGCTCCCCGTGAGCGACCTTACTCCTTAGCTTCCTCCTGGCACCGCCCCCTCCAGATCCCGGGCACCTCCTTTCTCAAAGAGTTGTCTGAAAATGTGCAACGGAAGGAGAAATCTCAGAAATCTGACTAATTGTCCTTGTGGTTTGGGGCGGGCAGCAGCGTGGCCTTGACGCTTGCCAGAACAACTATTTATAGCCTCTTGCTTATCTTAAGCAGTACGGTCCTCAGGGAGTATGTGACACATGGCCGTTCCTGTGTCTGGGACACATCATTACTCCATCAGGGCTCTGACTCAGACGGATGTCTGGGGCAGGGGTCCTCTCTCAGGGCCCCTGGCCCCACCATGAACCGGCTGCCTCCTGAACACCCACAGCAGCCGGCCAACAGGAATATGCCTTTTCCATTGGTATGTCCTCAACGACATGTGTGTACATTGAAGTTTGATGAATGGATGAGAGAATAAGCGAGCAAATGTATGTAAAGCAAAAACAACAACAACAACAAAAATGGCTTTGGAAACAGAGAGTCACAGACAAAACCTCACAGGATGGTGGAGACCCCGTGGTTCACAGTGTGGCTTATCTCACCCCAAGCATGATATCCACTCAACGCACACACGCGTCTTGTTGCCTCGACGTGCAGGCAAGAAATGTGCAAAGAACCAGGGCCCCTGTCTTGAAAACTCACTATCCGCATCCCTGCAATGGCATATCATCCATGACAAAAATAAATCAGCTATGAAGGCAGGAAAACGCACAGAGGAAAGTTAAACGCATGTTACTAAGTGAAAGAAGCCACTCTGAAAAGGACATATACTGTATGATTTCAACTCTGTGACATTCTGGAAAAGGCAAAACTGTGGGACAGTGAAAAGGTCAGTGAAGGCCAGGGATTAGGAGGGAGAGAGGAGCAGGCAGAGCACAGAGACTCTTCAGGGCCATGAGACTATTCTGCTTGATACTATAATGATGAGAGCACGTAATTCTGCATTTGTCTAAACCTATAGGACGTCAACACCCGGAGAGAATCCTAATGCAAATCAAGGGATCTGGTTACTAAGACTGTATCAATATTGGCTAATCAAGAGTAAAAATGGTACCACAAGAATGCAAGCTGTTTATATACGAGAGGGAAGCGTATGTCCAATTTTTGTATAAATCTAAAGCGCTCTTAAAAATAAAGTCTATAGTACATTTCTCAAATTTATTATCTGGAAGCATGCGTTTGTAGAGAGAATGAAAGAAAAGCCCTATGCAATGTCAGAAACTTGAGGGGGGTGGTTATTATTATTTTTTATTTTTTTCATAGAGACGGGGTTTCTCCAATGTTGGAGAGGCTGGTCTCAAACTCCCGACCTCAGGTGATCTACCGACTTCGGCCTCCCAAAGTGCTGGGGTTACAGGCATGAGCCACCACGCCCTGCCAGAAACTTGAGTTTTAACGACAGCAGCCACTTTAAGATTTGGCCAAGAAGCCGGGTCTGTGTGTTCCCACATCCCTCTGTGACCAGATGGGTTGCAGTAACTGCCCACCACCTGGCCTGGCCCCAGGGCATCCTACAGAAAAGGAGAGGTGAGCTCCGTGGCTTACATGGCTAAGGGGCTCTGGGATTGTCACACCTAATCTTGTTGAACTGCATCCATCACTTGAACTGCACATTTTCACTGACAGCTTTCTCCTGCCAGGACTTCATTCGGAAATGAAGCAAACTGGTCCTCAACCCCATACAGCTTACAGCTCCAGTAATAGAAACAGCATAAAATGAATAGTTTTCAAGAAAATGAGCTGGGGGAACAGTGGGGCAAGCAGCTCCCAGGTTCCAAAGAGCAAATGGCAGGCAGCCTTGTCCTAAGCTTCCACACCCATATCCTACCAGACTTGCTCTTCTCTTCCTAGAGAACCAGTCACAGCCCCTACTGTATTTGCACATGTGCTGTTACAAAATGAAGACAAAAATGTCTCAGGAAAGACCTTCTATGAGAGTGAATTTGCAAATAAAAATGCACATGAAGCACCAATCACATGAAGCACTCCTCTAGGAGCAAAGAGGAGTCGCCTGTCGATAAAGAGAAAAGCCATTGTTTCTCTAAGCGCAAACATCTAATTTAGCAAAAACCGTGACCAGTGAACACAGAGGGCATTTGTTCCTTCAGTGTGGCTAAAGCCATATTCCAGGATGGGAAGTCCCTGAAAAGAGATTGCATTTCCATCACACTTTTCCTCTCTTTTGCTAAGGCAGGTAGCTGACCACAGACTTAACCATGGGATGAGGCGGCCGGGTTTGGGATGCTAACACCGGCCTGCTGCTCAGCACCAAGGAACGTATGGGGGCTGTGCAGCGGTGAGATCGGCTGCGTCTGCTGGACACTCAGGTGTCACCCGCTGTTCTTCAGCCTTAGCAGAGGCAGAAGCACCGTGCTTCCGTGGGCAAGCTGCATCCCTGTCAGAGAACACACAGTTCTCCGCTGTGCCCGCCCCGCTGATCTACAGGCTGGCCCGCCTCCCACACATCAGGAGGATGTCTCCCGTAGAAGGAGCCAGGTAAGGGAGTGAGGCGCACTTGCTTGCTCTCCTCACCTCAAACTCCAGCTCTGATCAGACATTCCCCAGCACTGTGGGGTTCTTTCACTCTTTCCACTGGACAGGGAGAAGCACTGTGGGTTGGGGCCAACCCCAGGCTGGCTTGGCCTTGCTCGGCACAAAGAAGCTGACACTTCTTCAGTACTAGGTGGGCGTAGTTTTAAGGGCAAGAATTTCTCAGCACCATGCCCCCCTCCCAACTCTCTCCATCCGGGAGATTTAATGGTTTATGTTTTAAATTTCACAGGCGCGGGAAGAAACTAAGAGTCAATCACTCCAGTGGAAATTTAAAGGAACCCCTTTCATTGGCCAGAGGAGTTCCCACTTGGGAAGGTGGAAATGTCTCCCAGGATAAATGCCCCTGCTCCTTCACCCACACCGGATCTCCAGCTCCCTGGAATCCCCTCCCACATGGTGGGAGCTCCCTTTCCCCTCTGGAGTCCCCTTCCACACTCTTCATGGACGTCTTTCTCTTCTTCTCTTTTCTCTACCTAAGTAACATCACCTTTCTGCAACACTTCTTTGGGTCCAATATTTACTTTTACAAGCATACAGCACAACTGCAGTGGTCCCATCGCTTATTCTTTAAGAGAGTGGAGACCAAGAACCCACAGCATTCTCTCAGGGGAGCTGTGCCTCACCAGCACCCAAGGAAAAACCTGGTTATATTAACATGCCAGTCTGACTCATTCACAGGGATGAAGACAGAGAGAGCAGCCACCCAACGCTGCAGGGCTGGAGGGTCCGGCACACTGCATCCCTGAGCCTGCCCTGCAGATGGCAACCAGGAGCCTCTGAGCTGCTCCTGGGCCCATCAGTGCACCACGAACGTGGCTGGGATGTGTTCGGTGGCATGGCCAGGGGTCTAGGTGGGCACCCACTGGCCCTGTGCTTCACCTGCTGTGTAACATGGTGCTGAGTGAGCTGCAGGGGCGTGGAGGATGAGACAAGAACCAGGCAATGCTCCCCGTGCAAGGTGCACTCCTGGGGAGGCCCATGGCTCGTCCAATGTGTAGACTCAGCTGGATAAACGTGGAACAACAGTGCCGCATCTGCAGGTCTTTCTCTGTAGCCCTCACAGTAGGGCCAGCGAGCCCCTACTCTTTGTATAAGAAGTCGGGTCCCAGAGGGGACCAGCCGCCAGCCACGGAACTC